GAAGAAGCCAAATAGCCCAGTATTTCATGTTTTGGGAAAATTCTTCTTATTAGGTGTTTTTTTCCCTAGGGGTCCCAGATTTTGTGTCACTCATTCAACAGCAATAGAAACTGCCAGTGCCAAACTGAAGCTCTGGCACACATGCCAAGAGAGACCAAGGGTGGACATTGATCCTTTTCCACAAATGGTATCACTGCTACCACTGACACCTAAGTCTTGCATGCCCAGGATACCACCTTACCTTCCTCAGGTAGGTAGGATCACAACATTGAAAAACAAAGCTTTGTCCCATCAAAAATAATGATAAAACTCCTTGAATTCAATGAGACAAGGATATGGTACTTGGTTGTTAGGAATTCAAGATTTAGCAAACTGGTCTGTTGTAGATGGTTATGTATAAAAATGCAACAAAATTTTACTATACTTTATGCAACAGGTTGCTACAAATTGAGTCAAATTACCTTCTCAGCTACATCCTGGCTATTTCATAAGTCTTTCAGATAGATGTTTAGCTTGAAATTCTCAGAACAGCAAAATTAAGGATCTAGTAGCATAGATTCTGCCCTTTAACCAGCCTTATCTTAATGCAGAATAATTCTTACAACTTCACTGCAGTTGCCCTGAGTCTACCCCTCATGTTTGTAAAAAGGGCAGAGTTCTGCTCCTTTTCTATCACCATAGTCCTTCAATCAGCTACACATGATTTTTGCTTTCTACAGAGGGCCATGAGCCACAAAACACACACCTTTTCACAGCATGCAGCTTGCAGGTGGCCAGGTCAGTTTTGACTCTCCTTTTCCTTGAAAGCCTGAATTTGAGAGGTGACTGCAATGAAAGCCACAGGTTTTCAGCAACACAGTGTCAAGCCTCAGGACAGAAGGTACTTGGAGAATGGGAATTGAGACTGTGGTTTCAGTATCAAGAACTGGATGGTCTATGCCACAGATCTGTTCACACACACCTCTGTTACATTTGGAGTTGGATAGTTTTAGACTACAGTTATATTTTTTAAAAAAGCTAATTCATGGAGATAATGGAGGAAAAACAGTGGGACAGATTTCCTGTTCAGAAGAAGCTGGGTTCAGGAGCCAGATTCCTGCTAAAAATTGCGGATCAAGGAGGGAATGGGAGCAAGAAGCAGCTGCCTCTTACAGAGACCAGTTCTGGCTTCACAAGGTGTGCTAATGACCCAGGACTAGCTGTAGGTCAGGGAGAAAGGATTCTAACTCTGCAGGTTTTCCAGCCCCTGTTGAGTTCAGCATTTGAAGAAAACTATGATCTGGCACCCATGAACCTCACAGAATCAGCTGATGGACTGTTTCTTGCTGCTTTTTTTTTTTTTTTTTTTCCCTGTGAGGAATCTGGACTTTTGAATCTTCCAGCCCCACTATGCTTGCAAGACCTTAGAAAGAGCAGCAACTCTGGGTGAATTTCTGAGGGCACTCTGAATGCAACTGGTGTCTCCAAAAAGTCATAGAAGGATTTTGTTCAAAATAAGTCAGTGATGGTGTGGCAAAATGCCCCCTTTCTCTCTTAGTCTGAGTGATTGTATCTCTCTTACAGCCTTGGTTTACAGTGAGCTACTTAAGGTAATCTTTTAGTAAAGGCTCACAAAACATGTTCACATGCTCTTCACCTGTCATCCTCTGTAATTCCATGCAAAGTGCATGTAACATTTCTACCTTTTAAAAATGTAATTTTTAAGTTATAGTGGCTATTAAGGTATGCTGAAAAATCTTGGAAGATATTCAGAGAACATTTTTGCAATTTGCAGTAGTACATATTGTATTTCACAAGGAAAAAATGGTCCTGAAAACCCTTGAATGCTTCTGAGTAGCTAATGAGAACATGTTAAGAAAACACAAAGGTGGAAAAATAATCAGACTTGCCTTACTTTTCTTTTATGTCTTTTAGAAAAGTAGAACAAGCTCATCAACAACTTTGTTAAAACTAGCTACACCAAATTTCTCTTTGAAGAGATCATTAAGATTATCACCTACCCTGTCATCAAGTCAGAGCCCCCGAAGGGATGACATTTCTAGCAGTAGAAAGTGGTAAGTACAAAAGTCCCTTGTACGTGTTTCTGCACACAAGTATACCTCAAATATTTATGAAAGGCTTTTAGATCCTACTGTTTTCATGAATACTTTTCTTTAATATAATAATCTGCTTACTGAAGGTACAGATTGTGTTCATGGAGAATTTCTCCCTGGCTGATTAGTTTCTGATTTGTTCGTGCCACAACACAAAGGGGTTTATTTCTCCAAATACAAGTGTTTTACCCTCTCTTGTATAATCATTGATACTCTCTACATGTATTTATATTCTTTTAACCTGTCTCAAGTGCTTGACCTCAAAGATATGCTGTGTCAGGGATTTCCACAGGGCCACATGAAAAAGTATTCCTCTATATTTTTTACATTTATTATAAATTTGAACTCCATGTACATTTTCCTCTACTATTCACTATGTCATTCTACCTCTCTCATACCCCTTCTTAGTTGTTTATTTTATAAGCAGTCCTAGTCTTTTCTTAAATAGGTATTGAAAATTTTGTTTGTTTGTGGATCCAGGCCAAAGTCAGTGAGCAGAGACACGATTGATTGCTTAGCTTGGGATGGCACTGCAGACTCCAAATACCAGGGTCACAGAAAGTACACATATGCTGAGCTTCTGCCGGTAAGTAGTGCTTGAAAATTTTAGCTGTCTTGAATCATGGATTAAAACACTTTATTCTGTGGTATTAAAGGGGAAGTAGTCAATGATGGGGAGAAATTGGTTTGATTATGTGAATGTCAATGCTGTATGCAGAGGTATAATTAGAATGTCAGCATTTTCTGTGTGGTATCTGTCACCTATTTGATAGGAAATCATGGCACATACAGAGGTTTATTTTCACTAGAAAGTGTTGATCTTCTCCATGGTGACCATGTGTTCAGTAGGCTATTATGGAAAACTCACTGGATAAATGCTTCAGTGGAATCGTTGCCTAGGAAAGTACACCAGACTTACAGTGAAAACTGAATCAGCCCTAGAAAGTCATTAAAATAGTAAAATTCATAAGAGGAAAATGCTTCACTTGTACAATTCCTCTTTATTGCTTGGGTACTTCATTCTTTTCTTTGTTGACTTATTGCCTGCTAAGCAGGCCCTCAATCCAGCAAACCTCAGGAGGGACAGGCTGCACAGAGGAGCCTTTTCTCAATAACTGTTAAAATGCTGACAAATTGAACATGTGAGCTGTCAAGACTTGGCAATTTAAAATATATCCAGAACTGTTCAGGTTTGTGGAATGGTCTCAAAACAGCCTGCTGTTTCATGGCAGTATTGACACCCATGGCCTCACAACTGAAAAAAAACCCATATTATGAAATCCGGACCTGTTTACATATGCATGGAGTTTGCTGATCACTTGAGCACATGATTGTTTGTTTTTCGCATCAAAATCATACTTTGTTTATTACTTCACTGCAATTATTTTACTACTTTGTAAATTTTGACAGAAGAAAAGGCTAGTCTTTGCAATTAGGGGACATTTGCAGTTAGAAACTTATATTCAGGAAATATTCACACCATGAGCTATTAGTTTTTATACACCTTCATCATGCAGAGTTTCCCTCTGGCTGAGGAAGGAAAATACTATCCATTTATACTCACAGGGCTAGACTGGAGCCTACAGTCAGGATCCCACAATTTGCCATCACAAACATGATGCAAAGAGGAATGCAGGGATTCATAGTTTAACTTCATACTGGGGAGTGGGATCTTCCTGCTGTGCTTCAGAAGTCTGGCTTCCTCCTGCCCTTCTCCATTCCTGTTACTGTTTGGAAAGAAGCTGGTTGTCAGCCACCACACTCATCTGCTCCCATTTCTGCTATCAGAGATGGCAAGTCAGCCAAAGTTTCTCTCTTGTGATCATCAGAAGCTACTCTACTAGTTTGTACCCTCCTCTGGCTTCTCTGTGAGCATTGTCAAAATGGATGTATTCTTCCTCAAAAGCTCCAGGAGCTAGCCACAGTAAAGGGCCTGGATTTCCTCTCCCCTAACATGCTCACGATTTTGATGCCAATGTCAGTGGTGTAACCCCAGGAGACATATCTTTTGTTCCATGAGAGTTAATCTTTTTAAGGCTTGACCAAATAACCACCTGTTAACTTCTCTTGGTTCAAAGTTCAACAAAGCTGGTTCTCAGCCTGAGCTGAGACAACTTTTGACAGTGAAGTGATATGGTGTAGTATCATTGGAATTCCCTGGATCTGGAGCTAAAGAGTTAATGACAGAATTAAGGCCAGGTTTGATTTCCTGTTTCAAGTATTGAGGAACCACCTAAGGGATGCTATGGTCATTTTGCTACTCTGCATGCCTTCAGTCATCAGACTTATTCCATTGGATGTGAATATTTAGTGGGAAAATGGTATGGAGAGCTATGATCTATTGCATATATAGTAGAAGATGGTGTCTGGTTTCTTGGGATGAAGATACTATTTGAACACACTGCATGGCCCTCCACTGCAATGTACTGACATTTGAAAATAATGCAAGCCTGTTATCCCTTGCTGTATAACCATATTGTATTTGTCCAGGGGAAAAGTGCTGCTGGCAGTGTTGTCTTAGGGGGATCAAGAATGGAAAGCATGCTGCAGTCTCTTTATTTGGAGAACAGAGCAGGCTACTACTTCACACAATTCTGTGAGAAGTCAGGGAATAAGGTATGTGCATTTTCCTATGCTGTGATAATTTAGTCCACAATTGACTGAATGCCAAGGCATAGAGGGCAGCCAGACTGAAAAAAAAAAAAAAAAAAGGAGAAAGAAAGATTGATGACTGGATGAATTATTACTTGTGAGACTCCAATCCCTCAACAACAATAAACTGTTCATGTGCATATTCAAATTAATGACAGGTCTTAACCAAGCTGTCAGATCCTAACTGTCTCAAACCTATTGGAAATCTGATTGTACCATCAGGGATAAAAAAAGACTAATCATCTTTAAAAACTAGCCTTTAACTTGGCAGAAAAAATGAGGTCTTAACCCACAAAAACATTTTTAAAAAAGATGGAAAATCTGCTATGCTATTACTCATGATAATCTGCCTCCTTCTTACTTGTTGGATTAGTGATGTCCAAAATCTCCAATGTTTTAAAAACGTTCTTCTGCTTCCACGAAGCTTCTTGGATTTCTGAGAAACAACACTATTTCTTCTCCGCAGTCAGCAGATCCATCATTCATTGCTGGGTGTAAATTGAGGATTGGTTGGAACAAGTTATGAATCTGAGTCAGTGTTTAGTGGCTTTGCAGAAAAATTGAGTCTTTAGGGGAGATCTGAATGCAATCAAGATGGACATCTGTTTCACCGCTGGCACAACCCAGAATCCAGCAGCAGTAGCTAGAAATGCCTTTGGCTACCAGAAGGCAAGAGCCAATGTTTCCAAAGCTGAATACCTTCAGCTAAAAATGTTAAACGTGTATAGATAGAAATATAAATAAAAGTAACTGATTTTTTTCATGGGAGATAGGCACCCACCTGCATGTCCTCTAGCCTTTGCAGGTGCCAGATGACTTTGAAAATTATTTCCTTAAGGTTTTGTCTACACTGTGGAGGCTATTTCACTCATATGCCAAGTCTGGCAGACTACAGTATGTGGAGCAAAGTTCCCTGCCCCTGTCTTTTTGGAACATTTTCTTTAGTGTCCAGTGATGGGGGTTTCAGGGTATTTTTAAGATCCAAAGCCCATAAGCACATGATTAAAATAGAGGACTTGGGGAAAGATCTAGACTCCTCCTTCTGAAAGATCTTCTGATGTTTGTTTGAATTTATGAAATGAGGCCAAGACTCTGTGCCTCAGAAATGCATGTAATAAAAATGTGATGATAGTCACAGTAACATACGTCAAGTACACAATATTTAATTGTTTTGGTTATTGCTGCAAAATGCTATTTCACCATGGCACAAATTCTGCATGTCCATTATCAGCATTTCTTCTTTAGTGCTGGCTTTATGCCACTGAAATGTGGTTACTCTTCAAAAGTTAACTACAATGTTAACAATTTTAATGGCCAATTATGCATAAAGGATACAATAAAAGATACAGTATCATAGTAACGATGCCATTAAATATGTTGTCCTTCTGCCAGTATGCAACAGAAGATTAAATCCATCTTAAATTGAACTTGATTTATGATGACCCCAAGGAGCTAAATAATTACTTGCATTGGAAAGTCAACCTTTTATAAAGCTGTGATATTTGGGTAGCAATAACTTACAGTATTTTTCATCTCTAGTTGTGGAAGAACAGCGCGTACTTTTGGTTTGACCTACAGGCTTATCATCAGCTTTTCTACCAAGAAACTCTTCATCCTTTTAAAATATGCAAGCAAGCTCAAGTAAGTTGTAAATAATGTGTTTTCCCTTCACAAATACATTTGTTCAGTGTAAAGACTGAAAAGAAGATAGAAAGTAGAAAAGTTTCCAAATCTTGACAACACACACCAAAGTAAATCTGGTTTGTGGACAATAAAAGAAGCTCTTTGGATTGTTTCCATGGAATTTCTTGATTTAAAAGTTAAACATGCATAGTTTGATTTCTAGGCTCTGCTGTCTGTTCCTAGTTTTATCTATTATACTCAGTTTACCTAATCTCCCCTCTGCTACTCTGTGTCGTATTTGGAAGCTGTCTGCTTAGTGTTAACATCAGAGATAACATTTTTTCTAAATCATCTAATTGTGCTGTACCTTTCCTTCCATCTCCTGTATGGGTTAGAACTGCAGATCTCACAGTGCAGACCTCAGATAATGACCTTAGTCATGAAAATGGATTTTTCAGTTGTCAGTCATGTTTTTCCTTTTCTGATTGCCAGAACATCATGCTCTTTTTGCAGTTGTCATCCTCCCCATTTGATCTTTAGACCCTCATTTATTGTCAAACAGAACTGATATTTCCTACAAACGTGTATTCTTAATTGAGCATACACTTTGAGTGAGGGAATAAACCAAAAATGAACTGGTTCACCACATGGGTGCTGATAGCTGTCACCGACTGCAGAATAGTCTGATACTGCCAGGGAAGGAGGCTGCAGCAGTGTGATATCATTAGAAGGACTCCAAGCAACTTTTAAAATCACTCTGTGAAACTTCAGTCTGTTTTTCTTCTGTAAACCTTGTGTAGGAGTATATCCTATCTGCATATTTCAATATATGCTGTAATAGAGCAAAGCTACTTCACATGTCGTTGGAACAAATATCTGTAGAGAGCAGTAGAGAATAATCTCTTTGTATGGCTTATGTTACTGAGCATCTGGACTTCCTTGAATTTGTATTCTTTTCCTACTTGGAGGTTTTACTGGGGCAAATGACAGAATTTTGTGTATTTGTCCAGAATTCTCACCTGAATCAGTGTTATTTGTACAGTAACTCCAAGCAGAGGCCAAGGCACTGATTCATCCCTCTCTCCTGTCACACACTGTCTAACTTGAACTGCTGCCCTATTTAGTTGTTTTCCCCTCCAGCGCTACTTACACCCTGAGGCTGAGGGCAACTGGCCATACCCTTAAGACTGACTGTCTCCCGTACCTGTCCAGGCCTGCGTGAGGCTAGGGATCCCGCTTACAACAGGCGTGCAAGTTAACCATATCTAGACTGTGTCTTCATTTTCCTTTATGTTTTACTGCAGGCCAAATCTTGGGTTATGGTCCATGATGGTTTCCGATTTGGTTTCATTTCACACCAGCTCATGCTCTTTCTGTGGTGGTTGCACGGCTGAAAATTACGGCCCACGTCTTTTTTACTTTTCTTATCTTATTTCCAGTGCTGGCCTGGTGGTGACAGCAGAACATCGTACAATCAATGTTACCAGGCAATTGCAGAGAGCTACATACACATACCCATTAAAGTAAATACATCAAAACGAAATATGTGAAACTGTTCCATTAGCATAACTAACAGCTGAAATGTAACATAACAGATCAACACATGTGCTGCAACATTTGGTATCATTCTCAAGCTTGCCTTTTAAGGCTGCACAAAAATTATTCTTGTTTTCATTGGAACACGGTAAAGAGTCAAGCTGCATCCAATCTACAGGGTCTGCTTATGGAAGAGATGCCTTCCCGAATTCTGCGCTCACCTCTGGCACAATAAGATAGTCATTCCAAATACTCCTAAGAGAATGTGGATCAGATTCGCACAACACATCGTCATATATATTTTACTATTTATTACAGAAAGAGACATCCAGAATATTCTGTATGTGTTCTGCCTGCTTCCTGTTAGAAACAAGAGCAAAGCTGGATTGCTGTGTATCTGCTACTCATTGTTTCATTCGTTAGGCATTTTTATCTCAGCTTTATGATACAGTAAGAAAATGCATTCCAAGGTGTATATTCATTCATCCAGTGAAAGAAACTGCAGTGAGAATGAAATCTGATGGATAAGAAAAACAAAGAGTACTGGTAATCATCCAGAAACATATATGCTTATTCACTATGAACATACACACAGGAGTGTAAAATAAATTGGGAAAAAAAAGAAATAAAGAAACACATATTGTAGTTTTCAATTTAAAAAAAAAAAAGTTATTTAGAGTTAGAAAATTTAATACAATTATGGGAAGTACAATATTTTAACACTAGAATCAATTTAGATAAAGGCAGTTATCATTACTGTGAACTTTTAGGGTCAGACACAAGATTTATGTTACTGGAAAGTGATGACAGGGGTTAAGGCAGTTTAGCCTTTCCATTTAAGCCCAGCCAGTGCATTGTATTCTTCCATCATATGATTCTGTCAAACAGCTGCACAAGCCCCTTGTTTAGATCAGAGCAACATCCACGCCTTTGGGCAGCAATACAAAAGCACTTGGACTTAAATCTTTTTCATGTTTCTTGCTTCACTCTAGTCATTCTGAGATTGCTTACCAAAGCCTTCTCGTCTGGGGATGAATTCACACCAAAAACCCAAGGTCTGAACAACCCCTGATTTGGAAATTCATAAATGAGGCCAAAGTCTTAATCTGAATTTCCTAAGCATTTCACGTCTTTGGATTTGTGCCATCATAAGTAATTTCAAGATGCAAACTCTGACCAAATTTCCAGATAGGGTTTCGGGTTCAATCCATCACTTATTCTAATACATTTATAGGAAAATATATTAGAATGACAGGTAGGAAAATTATTTGTGTTTTACAAAAGGAACAAAACATTGAATAAATGAAGTGTGATGTGCACTTGATGTAACATGCTTAAGACTTTATATGAATTTGATAACCTTTAGGTTCATTTAATGTAATTTTTTCCTGTTGGCCCTTTAGGAGATTGGCCAGTACAACAGCTTCACTATTCCATTGAGATTCAGAAAACTACAAGGCTTCCATGACATAGGAGTCGAAAAAGGCTATGAATATTTCTTTTTAAAGCATAGAATGTATTTTCCCGTTTTATCTTGCTAACTTCATTGCCCAGTGTTGAAGGCTGTGAACACAGACACTTCTCCTTTTTGGCATGTCTAGAACTCTTCACAGTTGGTTTTTCTGCAGTTCTTGCATTCAAATCAGTGCAGATCTACAGATGTGCCTTGAACCCTCAGCAAGGGACACAGGGGTAAAAGCTTTTCTTTTCTCCCCTGTCTGCAAGTACATGCATTCACTTTGTGACACTATCTTTTTACTTGGTGGGTCAAATCCCATAGCAATGGATTCTTACAAGAATTTAAGCAAAAAGATGGCATCATGTCAAATCCTCAGACACTGTAAATCTGCATCCTTCAAAAGTGAAAAGGCCATCCTGATTACAGCACTGAGGGTCTGGTCCTTTGAGTTTGGAAAAGTGCACCCCTATAGCTAGCTTAATCACCTCTAAATTTCTGCTTCACATGTATTGCCATAACTATTTTTTCTAGAAAAAAAAAGTCTGCCTTTACTATGCTCCAGTTTTGCATGTGAAATTATACAGGACTGGGTGCAGTTCTGCAGATAGAGCAGCAGTCCCTAAGATGTCAATATATTACGACAGTGTTTATGTGAGCAGATTGTCAATAATTTTTGGCCAAAGCTTCCCTAGTGTGGGCAATTTCTGACTCTGTAGGCTGATATTTTTTCTCAGCTCTAAAGAAGGAGTAGCATATATACTCGTTAACCCATCTCATACAAAATCATGGGGGAAAGCATAGTTCTGCCCAAGAAAGTTGTGGAGTTTTTGTTTTGATTTTATTCTTAAAACTATGCTAAAAATGACCAGCCATTTAAGGAACCAGGTTAAATGTGTGTTAAAATATTGAGGACCTATTTTGGACCCTTTGCACCAATTTACAGATCCCTTGTGTGTGGTTTTATGAGTCATAACATGTGGAGCAATGTAGCCCTAATGATGAACAAAATGGTTAACCCCTCTTTAAAAAGTCTATTTTTAAAGATACCATATCTTTATATCATTGGACTGGTCCCTTCTAATTTGGCTATTTTATATGGTAAATGTTTTGGATCAGACTAGAACATGATGTAACTAAAACTTTACTAGTGTTAGGGTTCTTCAAAATAACTTTCAACTTTTGAAATCACTATGGATCTAATTAATGCTGTCTCTGTTAAATTTAAATTTATTTGGGGATTTGCTGAGAAGGGCATAATTTAGGATAAATGTGGTCTTATTCTTCAGCTAGGACTCTTCCTGTGGATGTCCTCATTCTTTGACCTTACCCTTATACCTAGGGGTCTTTATTGCACTGATAACATGGGCCACAATAGCCACAAGCCATTTTTTTTTTTCACTGATTAGATCTATGTAGAAAGGGAGGGGAATTCTGCATAGACAGTAAATACAGTAAAAAAAGTTCTAACTGGGGCATAGATGTCAGCCATCATAGCCCTCTATTCCTCAGTGACCTGATATCAGGAGAGTCTGAAGGGTCTGTTTTAAATTGTTCAGGTCCAAAATAATGGGGATGTAGTCTGGTACTGTTGCTGTTTGAAAGTCAGACTCTAATAAATCAGAATTTCATTTAAAACAAACAGAAACATAATTATTTAATGTACTCAAACATTCTCCCACTGTGCTTGAAATCTAAACACACCAGTGTTTTATTACTGCTTGAACACAGAGTAAATGTATTATTTTATTCTTTTTTACTGCTTTGTAGATCTGCTAGTTACAGATGGATTTTAGCAACATAAGGAAAATGAGAATTATCAGAAACCTGCATTCTTCAGTATCAAAACTGTCTGAAAATAAATAGTGAAGATGGGCTCCTCAATGCCATTCTAAAGAGAAATTCTGATTTGTGCTACTAATCTGATCCCCTGATCATATGTTTGAAAATTACTTAGACTTAGACAATATGAAGAAGAGAAAACATTTATAAGTATATGACATTTATTATGGCAGCATCTTTTTTTCACTTGAGTTCCTAGCTGCAGTCAGAACCACGATGTATTAGAAAGATATTCTGGAATATCCTCTTCCAAGATATTCCTGGAAGAAAGTGTTTTTCTCTGAGTTTTCAATGTTCTTTTTCATAGCAATTTAGGAAACATTTAAAAAACAAGAATTTGACTTAAGGGACTATTTGAAAAAAAAAAAAATCATTTGAAATAAGTAAAAAAATTACTCTATGCTACAAGAATGAGCTGCTAGTGAGAAGGAAACATTCTCCAGGTTCAGCTTTCTTCTGTTTGTACATGTTGAATGGCACACTCTGTGCTTCATAAAAAAGCATATTGTAACCCTTGCTTTGGTAAGGACTTAGACCTCAGTTGTGCAGTGGTATCTCCTGTTATAGATCCTGTACCATGATGGAGTCTCACCAATGTCAAAGAACTGTGCAAGAGAATCTCCACACAGAATGAAATCTTATAATTTTCATTAATTTTAACCTTAAATTTACAAATTCCTTTCTATTCAGAAGAAGTAAGACTCCCTCACAAGTTAGCCCAGCAGATATTCTGCAAAACAACAATGCGACTTCATGAAGAGTGTAGTTGTTATTATGTTTGTGGTTATCTGAATCTAAGTAAGAATCAGCCAAATATCTCCAAGCAAAAATTTTATTAAGCATTATTTTGTGATCTAACCATTTTAACAAGTAGGAGTAAAAATGGCAGGGAGGTCAGCTTTGGCAATAACTGAATTTTGGACAAAATAGTAATATTGGTAAAAATAAGGCAGGTGTAATTAGATATATGTTCAGAATATACAGCAGGGCAGTGGGGGACAAATATGCATTAATTCTCTCCTTCAACGGACTGTGACCATTGGAATGGATGATGGCTAAGAAACAGTTTTCTTCTGTTTTATTGTAGTTCCTTTATGCAACTTACATTGCCCCATCTGCCAGTATGGACATTGGACTTCATCAGAGTAAGAAAAACATGATTTATCAGAAAATTGACCCAGCTTTTGAGGATCTTTTTGATCCAGCAGAAGAATACATCCTCACTGTTCTGCTAGAACCATGGATGAAGATGGTGGAAGCAGACAAATACACTTATGGAAAGGTAACTGATCAGGATGACACTGTGAAAAATTCTTATGTCAGGGAAGAAGATCACAAAGGCCTACATATGCAACCCTGTTACATTTATAGTCAGGAAGGGAGAAGTACTACAAGATGTTTTGCTCACCCACTCCTTTCTACACTGATGTGTGGAGTAGCCTGAACCTCCTGTGGAGAGCAGACTTCCCTTCCAAATGGAAGGTGCATACTTCATAGACCTCTGGGTCTGTGAATTAGGGAGGAATGCATCTTGCTAAGGCAAAAATTCTCTTTGCACTCAGGAACTGTAATGTCTCTGCAATCTTGCCACTGATCAAAATAATTTTCTTACAACGGAGTGCCCACAAGCCTTCTATGTTTTTAATGATAAGCACAGAATAAGCTGTGTTTCTAAAGTGTCAGTACAGTGATGCTAGGTCCATATTAACTGTACCAAATATTTCTTGGTGTTTAGAATTAAAGTGCAGCTACTGCTTAGCATAAGAGGAAATGTGATATGGTGATCCAGCTGTATTTGCCCCAAACACTTTTTAGATAGCTGTCCTGCTGTGTAAGGGCTAACTGTACCCTGCAGGCTTCCTGAAGTAGGTGGCTCAGTGGTGTACTGAGTTCCAATCCCAGAAAGCCTCTGATGGCTTGAATTGAGCAGGCTCCTGCAGGTCAGAGGAGATGGCTGCAATCCCGACTCTCCTTTTGACAAATAAGACCAAGAAATGGTGGAGGCAGTGGTGGATACTGTGGCACTCTGCTCTTTGTAAACTTAAGTCACCAGCTGTAGGTCAAACCTCTAATTCCAAGTCTTCAACTTCTCTCTTTTGGATATGGAAGGAGAAACTTACAATGGAGAATCAGGAGTTGGAAGGCAGGAAGTTAGTTCTTGTTCCTGTTCTTCTCCACTGTGACCTTAGATGAAGCATCTCCATTTTTACAGGAAATATCATCACTTAGTGCTGACACTTCTGTCAGCATGTCATGAGAACATGCATGCATTGCCCCCTGCAAAACATTTTGAAATCCTTTTTTGGCAGTTTTGTAGTACAGTGTATTTTTGTTACTGTATCGTGCATGCATGTATGAACAACTATGAGAACAGATACCTAAAATCAAAGTTCAGAACAGTCTTCTAAGCCTATGAGGTGGTGGTCAGTATTAAACATTTACGAATAAGAGTATAAGAACAGAAAAAACCCATACAGCAGTATTGCCAGCTTCAGCACTTTGCAACTGAGGAGGTTCATGAAGCAGAGGTCTTACCCACATTTTTGCATTTGATAGTCTTTGATGAGATTTTTTTTTCCCCATGGGTTTATATAAATGTGTCTTAAGTCATTCTATATCTTCAGCCTCACTGCAGCAATGGGTTCCATGGTTTAATCATGCAATAGTAGAAAAAAAATGCTTATCTTGGTTTGTTTGCGAACCCCTCCCTGATAATTTCACCTGGTGCCCTAGTTTTGTATGTCATGAGGAACAGTGAACAATTGTTATCTTGTCATATTCGCAATGCTGTTATGCTTTTACATGTTTCCGTTGTATCCCATTCCAATTACATCTCTTTGAAGCTCAAGAATCCTAGACTGTCTGACCTCTCCCCTTACAGAAGGCTTTCCATACCTTTGTTGCACTTAGCACCCCCATCTGTATCCATTATTTTATATTCTTTTGATGAGATGCAAGCAGTACTCAAGATCTGGATGCACTAAGGATTATTCAGTGGCAGAATCATGTTTTCTGTTTTGCTCTTTGTTCCTTTCCTAATTGTTCCTATGATTCTAACTGCCTTTTGACTCCTGGTGAACTTTGAGTGGATGTACAAAATGTAAGCTAATAGCCGTCTGCAGTGATTCCAAGATCTCTTTACTAAGTAATAACAGCTAATGGAAAGCCCTACTTCGGAGCTCACTGGAATGACTTAATGTTTATTGTTGTTGAATTCAGCTGCCCTTTTATCATGCAGACACTAAAGTGTCCTGAAATCCTGCAGCTCTTCACAGTCAATTTCATTTTTTGCTCTGTGGAATCCTTTTGCAAACTTTGTTGTCTCCTCACTCACCTCCTTTTCCAGATAATTTCTGAATGTTTAAAAAAACAACCTCAGTGCAGATCCCTGTGAGACTCCAGCAGGAACCCCACCCCATAATGAAAGTTATTTATTTCTTTATTTTTTATTTTCTACCTTCTAATTAATTCACAAGGGGATCTTCCCTCTCATCCTGTGATAACTTAATTTCCTTAAGAAACTTTGAAAGTTTGAACATTGAAAAAACTTACTAAAATGAAATATACTAATCCAAACACATCTGCAAAATATTCTCTTTGCTTTTCATAATCTTCTCTAAGCTTTTGTATAAATTATTTTTTCTAAGCTATTTTTCCTAAGATATTTCAGCTATAATTGTTTATGACCTGCAGAACACCATGTAATTGATCGATGCCTTCATCAATATGAATTTTTATTTACTTTCTATCAGACTAGTTTTACAGTCTTTTGTAAATGTATATTTTCCATGTGTATTATCAACACTAGTTGTCTAGTATCTATTGCCAGTCGTCACTGAGTCATCAACTCAGCCGAGTATTATTATGCATAATTTTTGTATAAGAAGGTCTCTGCTTTTGAGCACTCTCTGAATACAGTGTTTTCACTCCTTCTAGCGATGGAAGAATTCCTCCAAAGTAAAAGTTCAAAATATAAACTTCTGCTTTAAGTTAATGTGTATGTCAGTTAACTCAGTCCTTGAGTTAACCGAGGGATAATCTATTGTCCTTTCAGTTTAGATGATGCTTTGCTTTGCAAGTGTAGTTATGTGCAGACTTCTCAGTGCCCTAATAACACAAACATCTTAACCAGAGCACAAAAAAACAGAACAAAATCCTTTTGAGTGCATAATACATGCGTTTGTGAAGAGTTATAATACACAGACATAAAATGACCTGTTCTAGGAGGCACTAGAGTCTCTTTGTACTAGGCGCAGGCTGATGCTTAGGCACACTCCTTCCCAGCACAAAGACAAGGTCTGCTTTGTATTTTGTTCAGTCCCTGGCTCTACTCTTCCCCTTTGTTCTACCATAAAGCAGGATATATTTGGCCCATAATGAAACAAGATATTTTATCAAGACTTAGGTGAGTCCAAAATTGTTTATTTGGGACATGGTGAGTATGTATCTACATTTTTATCTTTAAACGAAACATGGAAACAGGAGAGTTCCTTTTTATTGTTGACTCTCATCCTGCCTCTATCTGCTTTCTGTTTAAACTTTATGAAAAATGTTCTGAATTATTTTCCTATTTACTTTTAAACTATGTTTTCTTTTAAAGGAAAGAATACCCAAAAGCACTTTATGACAGTGGAATAGAGTTACACGGAGCCTGAAGGCATTCAGATAACACTGTGATTAGTGTGGTATTCACATTTAGACAAAAGCATAATGAATTTTAATCTAAAAACTCTCTTCTCTCTCTTGCACATAAACTGTTGTATAACAAGACCACAGCTTTCTAATCTTTTTAATGGGCATGCTAATCAGGATAACACATTGGCTCAATTTTGCTAAATATCCTAAACCCTGGATTTGAATGGTTTAGTCAGCTGAGAGGGTCACCAAACTATTCCTTATGCAGTTACCGATTGTTTGCACATAACATGGAGAACTGCTCTAGTTATATGCATAAGGCTTCTAATTAAGTTAAAAAATGCCAATACTTCATGAGTTCTAATTAGGCACAAATTACTATTTTAAGGCATTACCCGGTATAAAACTAAGGAAGGGGACAAGACTGAAAGTCTGAAAGCTTTCACCTTCATTGTTTAGATGTTATAGCATCTTTCTTGTCTTAAATTTCCATTTCTGGAAATCTGTGGCACTCTATCTTTTTGACATTTCTCGCTGAGAGTCATAGTTTACAGACCTGTTTTTCTGCTTCGCAGTGGCACTTTGACATACAATTTGCTGTTATAGGCAATCAGGTAAGTCTGACACAATATACACAATGTCATATATACACAATATACACAATATATTACATACACAATATAATTTAACAACTTTTAAAATACAAAGTTCTATTCTTAAAGATATAGTTAGGTTATTTAGTGGTGTTCTGTAGAAATCTACATGTGATCTACACAGATCTGAAAATTTTGTTCTACCAGAGCTGTTAATTGAATTGTTTGTCACAAGGATATGGCTTCTAGTGTCTTCTAAACATCAGTCTCATTACTGGCGAACGGATTCTTTTCTATCCACTGTCACTGGCAAGGTGCCTGTCCAGTTCTCCATCTTTCTATAATGTGTACTGTAGGGATGACATAAGATATTATTTTTATTAGGTGGAGTTGGTGGAAGAAACTCGACAGCTGGACTCCGTGTACTTTAGAAAGCTCCAGGCTTTGCATCAAGAGAGTGGTTCCAAGAAGGATGAGGTAAGACAAGTACCTACTAACAAAAACAAACTCTTTTTCTATCAGAGAGGGTTAACACTTTGAGTATCAGCAATGAAAGACTGACTACATGCCATTTTGGAAAAGCAAGTAGTCCGATTTCTACCATTCATTTGGGGGAATGATTGACAGCCGTTGTGTTAATTACAAATACAGGTCTTCCATCAGTTACATCAACATCAGACCACTGTATGATTGGAGTCAATGAGACAATTTCCACTAAAGTCTTTGGAATGTATTTTGGGCCCTTAATCTTGAGTAAATACCTCAATTTCAAGTAAACTACAGGTATACATTTGTTAATTTCATTATGGAACCTGCATGCACTGGTATGTTTAAAGCAAACATAAAACTAAAGCTGATTAAGAGCTGGAGCCTTAACTTGATTTATTTTCTCAGCAATCAAAAAGCTGTTCTACAGAGAGAGAAGTTATCTAATGCAAGGATTATTAGACTGAGCAAAATATAGAGATGAAAAAAGTAGTTATGCAAGTGAAATAATTTCTTCCCTCAGAGTACTGTTGCTGACACTGGTCTGCCATCCTGCCCTGATGCCCTCAAAGAAGATCAGCACTTGCATCAAGTTCCCAAAGAATTGGCAGGTCCTAATCTATCTGACCTGATCCACAACGAAGAGAAGTTAGAACAGTTCTGGGCTTTTCTTAATGAGCATTCTGCCAGGTACATTTCTTCATTATTATTATTTTACCCATTTCTAATTTCAGAGGAAATCTTTGCTGGGGATCTTGGCTATCTAAATGTTCACAGATTTTAGTCTTTTTAAAAATATATTTGTATATTTATGAAATACACATGCACATTGTTCAGACAACTGAATTGTCTTAATGTTTTTGGGGTAAAATTTCTCCTGTCATAACGTGTTTGTACTACAGTTCTGCTTTCAGTTTCTGCTTTGATTAGTGGCAACCCCCCGAGTAGAGCAATTAGCCTATAATAAGTAAAAATTTCTCTATTTTAGTGCAGATTCAATTTAGTACATTTTAAAAATTAAAGCTGGATGTTATAAAAATGTACAAATAGAAGACAGCCACGTTATTCTCACAGTGTGAGAGCAACCGCAGTTTTGTGTTTGGTTTGCACTGATCTGAAAAGAATTAAGTACCAGCTCATAGCAGATACAGTTTTTGCAGGGTTTTTGAAAAAGTAAGCCCATTTGTTTAAAAATGAAGATCAAAACAGAAGTTCTAGCAGGCGTAAATGTGAGTTTTCCACCTTTATTTTTTCCCCAAAGCCCCACACTAATCTCTCTCCTGTTTTAGGAAAAGGCAAATATACTTTTTAAGTAACTGCTGGCAAGTCCTTAAATTGTCACTTTCTTCCTTTAACCTGGGTTCCCATGAACTTTGCATATTGTCTTTTGCTTCTAGTCAAGCACTGCTATCGTTTTAGATTGGATATTGGTCACCTTTTTCAAAAGTGTCCAGAGATGGACATCCAGCACAGGATTCCTCTAGCCAAGACTCAATGTCACCACTTCTGCTTATCATCATAGGCTCCCTTTGTAGTCAGAGAGAGAAATACACACTGCTGGACACAATTGTTCTAATTCTGAAGGTAACATCTAAAACCAGTTTAGACTGATCATTCCTGAAGATGGCTATTTCTGCTCATTGACTACAAAAACACTGTAGGTAATGAGTTCAGATGGAGATTCTTATGCTGTGGGTGCCTACGGTCAAGTGACTTCTGAGTTAGTTGTCTAGACCAGTGGTCTCCAAACTTTTTTGATCATGCACCCCATCACTAAAAAATCTTTGAGCATGCACTCTCAATATATGTATATTCATTTTTTAATAAATTATATACATGTGCTACTGAAGTTCTAATATTTTCTTCCTGCCCCCAATGAATCGTCTTGCACAGCCCCTGGGGTGTGCACACCCCACTTTGGAGACTACTGGTCTAGAGTTCCTCTCTAACTGGGGAAATGGTAGGAATTGTCAGAGAACAGGTCACTGGCTAGGGTGAGGTCCTGGACAGGTATGCTGAATTGCCTCTGGGACTTCCTGCCTCTCTGTTAATCACACAAGTCCCATCATAAGTGATAGAGCCAGGCAGAGAAAGTTTAATTTATGGAGAAACTTCTTTTGTAAAAGTTCATAATGAAGAAAAACATTTGAAAAAGTCTCACAAACCAGTGTTTTAGAGCTGGGTCCAGACCTAGTAACTCTGAAGTCCAGCTGGCATACTACAGTAAAGGTGCTTGATGGTACTATAAGCTGAAGGGGTCCTAGAACTAATGCAGTCTGGAAAACTTCAGCAAAAAACAACAAATGTGTCATTTGCCTCTTCATCAAAATTTATGGTCATGTTAGTGCCCAGTTGTAAGTGATCCAAGTTTCAGGAAGGACAGGCTGCTGAGTACCTGGGCACAAATTCTGGTAAGAAACTAAACAAAGTTCCATTAATTAACATTTTGTTAAATATATAGGATATATTCACACAATTGCAGGACAGTTTATGTTACTTTGGGTTAGTGGGTTACCTCTCGTTAGTCTTGCCAGTCTAACTGACTATGCACATGCTCCTGATCTGTTGAAAGGAAAAAGTAGAGTATGCTAGGATAAGCCACCACTGTAAATGGTTTAACCTAACACACTTTAAGATTATATATTTTGCTTTTTAAATAAGATGGACATATTTGATCTGTTGTCATAGGTAGATGTGAGGGAGTAACTCCATAAACCACAGTAACTTGGATCACTTGCATTTGGGTGAACTTCTTCACATCGTGATGAACTAGCAAATGAAGGAATTTCAGTCTCAATAGAAGTTAGGTCTGTAAGGGTCTCAAAAGACTTTTGAAAGGGGGATATCTGTTCTTAAATTAGTCAGATGCTTTTGAAAGTTTTACTCATAGGTTAATGCTTTGAAAAAGCTGGTTATTAACTGAATGGAAAAATGAAACATATTTGTCTGAATTTAATGTTTCATATTTCCTGCTGCAAATACAGTGAATGTCCTCATTAAAATGCTCACAAAGGTTCAGCTAATAAGATACTATCAGAAAACAGTCATATAAATTAAACTGAAATTGTAGGTATGTCACTTATTCTGTTCTCTGGTTTAAAGAACAAAACCAATATATGTTCCATTAAAACAAACTTAAATTGATAGTATACACTCAAATGATGATGAACAATACATAGATCAGGAGTTGCATATGGAGGTTATTTGTCAGTTACTATGAATAATGAAATAAGTAGTAGAATCAGTAATTTATGAAAAGGCAGCCCACAAAAAGCCCTAGAAACAAAGTTTACCATAAATTGGTTTTGTCTGCTTGACTGTGGACTGATTTAAGCTCAAGTACTTCACATGGGGTAGGAAGGGGGTGATTTCTGGGGCTGAGTTCCCAGCTGTCATCCCTGCTCCTTTCTCAGGCGATACGACGAGGAGGCAGAACAGGAGGTGTTGACTTGTCTTGGTGGCTCACAGCCTCAGTACTGCGTGAAATTCTCATCTGTTTCATTTTTCATTCTTTCTGTGAGCTCTGTACTATGGCTCTGGCTCACAGTCCCTGCTGGATTTAGCAGCGGCACATTGAGGAGGTTACTCCTTTCAGGGTACCCCAGAAGGGATCCTAAATGAGATCCCTAAGATGTGTGTTTGGTCTGCCTGTTCAGCAAGTGCCACGGTCTCACCAGATGGTACTAGCAAAGAAAAAATGACATAAAATTTCAGTCCAATCTGACCTGGTGTTTAGGACCTCAACACTTCGGTGGCTTGTGGTTAAGCTAATAACTCCCTAGAACATTGATGAAATTAACTCAATATTGAAATAACATTCTGTTTAAATTTGTTTGTAGCATGGATCTCATGTGCTGGCTAGATATTGAACAGTTCAGAAAGATGTTCCACAAGGATAAAGAAAAAAGGGAGGAAAAATCTAAGGACATTAAAAACAAGTACTTAAACAAAAAATACTTCTTTGGACCCAACAGCCCAGCTACCAGAGAACAACAAGAACAGGTACGACTTACAAAACCATTCATAAAGAACAATTACACTGAATGTGACTGAGATAAAAGTCCATAAGCAGCTTTACTCCAGCTTTTCCTCAAGCTATCTCCTCAAATCTTACCTATATTTTTGGCCAGAAATCTGGTCCTGTTCTGGTTGTGGGCATCCGCTCCTTCCTGTTCAGGCTCTTCCTCCCCTGTCCTTACAGAACATCTCTCTTAAATCCTGATCTGAGGCCGCAGCCAGAGCATGCACAACACAGCTCAGAAAAAAGTGTAAAAATGGCTTTCAGGCAGAATGACTTGTTCCAGCTTTCTATTTTAGTATGTCAGTAAAGCCACAGACAGCAAGTCTGAGCTCTGATATATCTTGATACTTAGGAAATTTACTCGGTCAAGCTGGAGTATTATTTGCCAGAGTCTGTATTCTATTATAGGTAGGGACAAATGTAATCTGTTCCCTTTTATGAAAAGTACATGTGAGCCTTGGGTAAGCATGCATTAAATGCTTTGCTTACAGTTAAGCCCATGCTTTGCTAAATCAAGGATGTAGAGAGATAAAGGACTTTTGGTATACACAAAAGTTTATGTCATGTGTTATTGTATTTGGATTGCTTAGCTAATGCATTCAGGTGGAGGATGGGGACAAATACTTCATGATCGACTTTCGGCAGTGGTTCTGCTAGAAATTCAGCAATGCGTCCAGAAGAGATTAGAAGAACAATGGCTGCCATTGTTCCTGGCAGATGAGCACCATGGGGCGGAGGGACAAGCAAAGGTAATTTTTTTAACAGCAGCAACACATCCAGCATTGTTTTTTGTTTGGCTCATAATTTACCATTGGGATAAAATGGTTCGGAGGAAAAGCAGCCCGCAACTCACATTCAGTTTACATTGAAAGAGATGCTCTAGTGTGTACAGGTTGAAGCATTTATCTTGATAATTGTGAAGGCAGTTCCTTTGAAGGCTTAGTCTGGCTGACAGTATTATTGTTAGATCCTAAATCTGAAGGAGGTGGTGTTAGCTCTGCTGCCAGCCAGGCTGCCAGGGGAGTAAACTAATCTTTGCTGTAGTGCTGCACTCTCCATATGCCATTCTGCCCTAGCCATACACTTGCATACATAAGAAATGCTGTTTTGTGTAAAGGATTTGCCCAAGGGGCCAAGAACACAAGCAAATGAGTGGGCTTCCCACACTGTATTCCCCCCCGCCCCTCTCTCTCTCTCATGCTGTCCATATTCTCCCATCTGGAGCTACAGTGCCCGTAAAAATGACTCCAGGAGTTGTGAAATTCTGCTGAGTGGTGAGGCTAACTGCCACAAGCCTTGCTTCCAATTGGTTACTTCAGAAAGTTGCCAGAAAACTGGGAACGAGAAGCCTTTCACTCCTGCTGGCTCATTAGAAAGACTGGGGAATGGGCAGAGCTAACATCTGCCTTTTATGAGAGTGCCTTTGACTGGGATCTGCGTAGGGAGATCATCCTGCTGGTGACAGATGCAAAAAAGACTTGTTTTTTTGCACTTCCACAAAAGCTCTGAAATGTGAACGTCATAGTAGAAGGAAACTTGACAGTTCCACCAAGCAGACACATAGGCAGACTGCATTGATTCATAAAACTTGTTTTCAGTGATCTTTTTAACACCAAGAAGGTTGTCAGAAGTGTTGTCAGATGTGCATTTGAACTGGATCCTTTTAATTGATTCAGAGCACTAAGCAATCTGAAAACCATAGGTTCTGATAAGGCAAATTGTAATTTTACTAATGATTATGTTAAAGCAAAATTTCCTAACCCTCTGCCCTTTTTTTAGCTGAACTCTGCCTCCTTTACGAGCTGTGGCACAAAACCATGCAATAAGGCTAAGCTGCTTCCAGGTCTGGAAGCTAGATCATGCCTCCTCTTGCACCTGCTGCACTGTGCTGGCAGGGAGAGTAGCCCATGCAGTTTGGGAAATGCTGTATTCAACTCCAATAAACAGTTTACAGGAAATACATACTTCTAATGAGCTTTCGGTCTTTTCCTTTTCCATTTATGTCTGACTGCTCTTTTCTCTTTCTTACTGCAAATGCAGAGGATGAAAAGGTCCTTTGAAGAATGTATTTTAGAAGAAATGAAACCAGATGACATTCTCCACTTGGCTTCATATTTCACAGTGACCAAACACTGTGGGCATGCCATGTAGTCCTTATTCAGAAAATCTGCCCTTGATTTGAGGTGTATTTTTGCTACAAAGAAGCTGCAGGATCAAGCCTGTATTTCTGATATTTCTGAAACTAAAAACATTTCATTAAAAAAAAAAGAATTATAGCCCAAAATCTGTTCCCAACATAAGTGGTCACTCAGAACGTTATGGGTAAGGTAAACCAGTGCAAGAGTGCAGTTTGCCTGCCATTGCCTCTTGTCTTCTCTAATTCCCCAGTCTTAATGAGCACGTGCTCATTTATAGCTGAACAAGGGATGGCATTCAGTGTGGGTCCACATCAAGTTTCAGGTATAAAGATCCAAATGAAGATATATCAACTATTCTACCACTGTGGTCTCAATCACTGGAGGGCTGAATATGAAACAAAAAGAGTTAAAAAATACAGTTATAATCTTTTGTTCAACCTTAGGTAAGGGACATAACTGAAGATCTTCCATGCCAAAAAAAGAAGACAGCTAGGATGTGGAAGGCAAGTGAAGTTTACTGTGTCTCTTGCGTCTGCAGTTTCACTGTCTTTTCTGTTTGGACCTTGCATATCCTTTACAATTTCCCTGCTGACAGTGTGAGGCCCAAATGTAATGCTGTCAAAAGAAGGCATGATTGTATTGGCTACAGTGGACTGATTACTCACATTACTGGTGAATTTAGCTCCCTGCTGGATGTTCACGGTAAATTTCTCTCCCTTCCTGGCTAGAGAGGTCGTAATTGAAAAAAACATTCTCTTGTCCCAGGCTTTGGAGCACTCTTAACCCTCCTCAAACTGGTATTGTACCTTTAATTCACATTTATCTGTATTTTGCATGCAGTGGACTTATTGGGACAAGCTGTTCATTCCAGCATCTGGTAGTTTATTTATTATTGCGAGTGGATTACGTGCAGACACAAAAGGGAATGTGAAGTATGCAGTGGAGTGGGCAGGTTTAATCATATCTCACAGTATCTGTTTCATTTAGAATTGTATTTTAATCTTACAGTACTGAGATAATATCAATTTTAAACATCTTAAACCTTTGTAATAATACATTTCATCAGATGTTTGCCAGTTTGTAGCTCTTGAAGAGCAGTGAACTCTTTGTGATTGCCAACATACAAGTTGTGTACATTTATTCAGTTGAACTTTTATTGTCTGTTGAAATCAAACCGGAGACCCGGTCACCAATTATCCATACAAACCATTAGCTCAGAAGGGATCCAAAGTGCATGTGGGTTCTGTTAACTGAGTTTTCCCTTTGTCTGTTTGTCAGGAAGATGGTTATTTTCCATGTTCTGCTTCAAGGTTGTTGACCCATAAAATAAGCAGTGTTCATGTATTAGTATAGGAGTGGGAGCAATGTATTGTTCTTCCCTTTATGAGTATGCCCCAGAAATAATTTTTCCCAAAAGTTGCCTAAGTCCTGGACACGGGGGATAGAACGTGTTTGGAGAACTGGAAGAGGGCTGAGAAGATGCCACCTTACTAAGTTGAGCTGACTTTATTCTCACCAAAGGACGCTTTGGACAACCACCACCCACCCTCTCACAAGGGTAGGCTCTCATCCCTGGCAGGCTCTGCGGCAGGACAGAGTGAATCCCTGTTTTTAACAGAAGCTGCAGAAAGACTTTCTGCTTAGAATCAGGTTAGAGTTCCAGGACTGTCTGCAGCAATTAAAACTGTTTCTGTCCCATGCTGACCACTGAACAGCACTCCATCCCTCCAGGACTTTAAAGAGTTTTATACCACTGTTAGAAGACAGTTTTCATTCATCCATCTGATAATAAAGTTGGGGGGGGGGGTTGGCTTGCTCCTCAGTGACAGCACAAGAACTGTTTGTTCAGGAAGGCAGGCCAGCCTGAACTTCGTTTCAAACAAACTGTCCCTGCATAAGCCATCTTTCTTTCTCCACCCTTTCCTGGCTGCCTACCGCTCTGTGCTTTGTGGCAAGAGGATTTCCAAAATGTCTCGATGACTTTAAATTCTATTTTACTATTGGCAGCTTTATTCCACAGAGAGCAAACTCTCCGGCTTCTGTTGGTGATCATGGCAACACATTTCAAAGCTCATTTTGTTGGTGAGATCCCTGTCAGAAGCATTTTACAACTTTAAGCTATGTGGTTTGTCTGTTCCTTTTTCTTTGTTGTTTGTTTGCACAAAACTCAAACTGTTCTCTAGAAAAGTAGCCTGTTGCCATAATCAATAACAATAGCTGTTTCCATACTTTATAGTATGTAGTCATATGGTCTAAATCATTGTCAGTCGTTTCCTCTCCCATCACGTCTTCCAAAAAAATGTTGCCCAAACCAAACTGGAAAAAAAAAAAAAAGAAAAAAGAAGGAAAGAAAGAAATGAAACCTTGCCACATTCTATTGTATCCATGTCATAAACTCATAAACTACTGAAAGTTAGGGTCAGTGCAAAGATAAGAATCAGACAGCTTACGCTAACTAATGCCTTTGTTATTGCTTTTTGAAACAAAGTTTATTTGGTGCATTTATTTCTTCTTTTTGACAGCATGTGGACAATAAATGGGTTTCTTCATCTAGTGAAATAATTGCTTTCCGCAAAGTGCTGTTGAATCCAGTGACAGCAAATCAGTTTCAACGCTTTGTGTCACTGAAGGGAGACCTACTGGAAAATGGAGTGCTTTTTTGGCAAGAGGTACAGAAGTATAAGGTATGGTGATAAAATGGAGCAAGGAGAATATCATTTACTATTTGTAAGCAAATGCATCCATTACTGCATATTAGGAGAATTTTAACAAGAATATCTCTAGGCATTTTCTTGTTCATAGTAAAACCTCTTTCACTGTTTAAACTGTTTTTTCTTCAATGAAAATCCTCACTTCTTAATGGTAGCTATTTTTAATGACTTGAATGTATTATCCCTTTATTTCTTTATGCTTCTTCAAACTGTAACATTCTTCTGAGTCTCTAAAGGGACACTAGTAACTAGCTAATGCCCAGATTTTGGTATATGTCCATTAAGCAGTAGAAAATATGCAAGCACTAAAATGTTCATTCTGTCTTTATAGTCACATACTGTTAAATAATAAGATTATTGCTGAATTTGATAATCCCTCAAAAATCAGAGAAAACTTTTAAATTCAATCACATATACAGATGTAAAGATAGTATCTATCTAAAAATCTTACATGTACAATGCAGACCCCAGCTCCCTTGCAGTCTGTACAGTCACATTTGACTGCAGCTGAGAATGTGGCCAAGGTGAAATGTGATGGGGAAGGTCAGCAGGGATTGCTTCTCTCCCAAATACACATCCCTTTGTGAAATTGCTGCTGTGTGGGGTGAAACACAATGGGAAAACTCTGGAGTGAGCCTTTAAATCACACCGCAGCCTCCTAATAGCACCCTGGACTGAATGCAGGGGCACCACGGGTCTTTCACTTGTTCCTCGTTCCTTTTGCCTCTGGGATACTGCTGATGCAAAAGCGCTACCAGAGTGCAGAGCCCCTCCTGGGGTCCTGAACATAGCCTGTGTGCACATGGCAGGCAGGGAGCATGAGGTTAGCTAACATGCTCAGAAATTAGGAGGTAAACACAGTGGATGCTGCAGTAGCCCTTGGAGACCCTGCTGCAGGCATGTGGGTGTATTTTCACTGTTTAATTTTACTCATTTGAATTTGGGGTCTGCTTTAGAAGCTGAAGCTCCTCTGTTTCAAGGGGGCAATCTCCCCTCCTCACAGAGTCTCTGATCCCCAAGTGAGGAATCATCGGATGAAATGCTCTCTGGGGCTGCTGCTGTCTCTCTTTTGGTTACAGAGTGACTAGCTTGGACTAGAAACTTGACATGAAGGCACCTGAGGTTCCACGACATAAATCCTTCCCAAAATATTTGATGTTTTTTCAGATTTGCTACATTGTGCAGGACACGGAAACTTTCTGCAAATTAATGTGGAGTGTAGTTTAGACTGTTTTCTTTGTGGATCTGCTCTCTGAAGAAAGCCTTCACTGTTTTATGTCCCACCCCCTCTCCTTCGTTTATGTTAATTTTATTTGTCTTCTTATCAAGAAAAAGTACAATCTGACCATATTTCTGCATGCATGTGATTTGTCATGGTTGGCAGTTGATGCTCTTTATAGAAGCAAAGGGCTGGAGTAGTAGGAGTGTTGTGGGTCAGGCTGAACTGGAGGAATATTGCCAAAGACGTGGGCAGCACTTTGCACAGTGCATACTTGTATTGTCTGAGCCCTATCATGCCATCAGTTTAGACAGAACTCCTTCTAGGAGTCCATGACTGCATTGCTCCTCGTAACCCATCGGGCTGGCGGCACATCTTGGGACAATCAAAAAACAAAAAAAAAAATTTTTTTTTTTAACAAATATGAAGAACTATAACTCTGTGGATCATTTCCATCTGTTCCTCTATGCTCGTGTCTCATCCCCCTTCATATCACATGGCTTGTTTGTCTTCCCTCTTACTATAGCTCTCTGCCTTTTCTTCTATGCTAGATGAGTGAAGGAAGCCATAATATATTCTTAGGATATACTGAATATGTTTCTGCATTGCTTTACTTTCTTCATTGTAGCTGTTATCATTCTTCTTTTCCTTCACAAAACTAAAAACTATTCATAATAAAACAAGCCAGCTCTTTCACATACCACATTTCTGGTTAAAAGCCCTGTTTTTAATTTCTTTGCAAAGTAAATATCCAGCCTCCTATACCAAAACTAAATGCACATTCTTCATTGAGAGAGCTCTCTTCCTGAAAATTCTCTAGAGTGCTCATTGTGTCTTTAGTAGATACATGTGATAATCTCCTAGTGTTATAGAAATTTCTTGATGTTTACAGATAGATGGAAAGTTTGTCTTTCAAAGAATTTGAAGGAAGTTCTTTGAATTATTTTTTCTTCCTGTCAAAGTCCAATGGTAGCATCGTCATAGTGTGAAAACACAGTAATAACAGGTTTTACAAGAACAATAGGATCACATTAAAAAAAGTAGAAAACCCCCAGTGTTTCTTTGAGATCTCACCCTTGTAAGTTTTGTATTTTGTTCTGCACAGTTATTTCAAACACTGAGGTTTTGGGAAACCAGAAAATCTTAATGAATGGGGAAACTAGAAGATTTCATGAATGGAAGATTGTACTGGTAGCTGAAATTGTCCCCTCTTGTGCCAACATTC